TGAAACTATCAGGGCATCAGGGACATGGTAGGTATAGTGACCGGAAACACACACATCCAACCACCATAACATTATAACACAACTGCTTCATCTCTGGATCGTTTAAACACATTCCCAAGGACAAGGAACCAAGTTGCCTTTCCCTTAGTCTCCCCATTTCTCCAGTTCATGCACTGGTGATGGAGTCTCCAGAACTATAAACTGTTTAACTAGGTTGAATCACAATGACCCTTCTGAGGCCACTTGTGCACTTACCCTAATGTCTTAGCATCTGAATAATGAGAGCCAGAGAGGCAGGCATTTTCCCGGAGACTCAAGTGGAGCTGCTTGCTTAGCTGGGAGGGATGCCAGGAGATGATGGGGACTTCATTTAAAAATCAGACCATTTCATTGTGATTCATTTAACTGACAGATTTTAAATTTAGAAATTAAGTCATCGATTCTTTTTTTTCCCCTTTTAGCAACACCAGGCTTTTTGAAGATCAACTCAACAATACAGCCAGCAGATGAAATTAAAAAGGATTCTTCATCATGGATTTCACCTAAGAGACATTATAACCTTTATATTCTTCTAAAAATGGTTCTTCTCTGCAAATAGCTGAGTGTACTCCAAATCATTATTTAGGTAAAAGTTGAATTGGCAAAGTCAGTCTCTCTCTCTCTCTCTCTCTCTCTCTCTGTCTGTCTCTCATAGGAAGCCATTCCAACTCCTCTGAAAGTATAATTTTATCAATAAAAGGAAAAGCAACAATTAGAGACAGCTTTCAAGTTACTGATCCTTCTATCTAGGGGTGGAGTGCAGTGGTCTCAGAAAGGATTCTCCAGAAACCGGCAGGAATTTCCAGAGAATGATCCTCCATATGGAATCTCAGCAGTTTCAATGCTGTCTTGTCCCCTGATATATATGCCTGTCTCCAAAACTGGCTAATTTCTTGTTGTTTTTTTTTACATAATCTTTTGGGTACCTGCACTTGGCTAAGCACCTGTTTGAACAGACCAGTATAGTAAACAAGAAACTTTCAATTCTTCATGCGGCAGTTCTCAAAGTTTTGGGTGAAAGGACCATTTTCACTGAGGACCCCAAAGACCTTTTGCTTGCAAGCTTTCCATTGACCAGTATTTGCCTTACTAGAAATTCAAAGTGGGAAAATCTAAAACCATATATTTATTAGTCATTAAAAAGAATAAGCCCATTACATGTTAACATAATTTTTTTTTCCTGAACAATGACTATATTTGACAAAATAAAAGAAAGTTTAGGGCTGGGATTCTAGCTCAGTGGTAGAGCGCTTGCCTTGCACTTGTGAGGGGCTGGGTTTGTTCCCTAGCACCACACAGAAATAAATAATAAAAAATATCATGTTCATTACAACTAAATAAATGTTTAAAAAAATAAAAGATAGTTTAGCAAAAATATGGGTGTTGGTTTACATTCTTTATTTGCAAATATCTAATGTCTAGTTTAAGTGATTTCTCATATGCTTCTGTACCTAATCTGTTGTGATGTATTACCTTGGTTGAAGGATAGGAGGAAGTCTAACTTTGCAAAGATAAGTAGTTGGAAAAAGAAAGTATATCTGGATAGCATTTCAGGTAAAAACAGATATTGTTTTTAATACTTTGTTGATAGCTGACAATGG